TAAATCTGACGAAGGGCAAGAGGGATGGATGTGGATAAAGGCAGAGTTACGGAGAACAAGAGGAGCACAGCTTGGGGAGGAACAAGGAAGGAGAAAAAAAAGGCCCAAAACACTGGGAAAACACAAAATCCAGAAACCAAACACAGTTTTCTTCAGACTGCTTCATGTACCCACTCCTCTGGTATTGTTATTTTTATAATGATTAAATTTAAGTATTTTTCTTGCTGATTTCTACATTGAGATGATACAGAAGCAGAACATGTGTTACATGTATTTTTAAGCAAAGTAAAAACATTTAGAAGAGTGGCTTTGTGGGAGACTAAGACAATTAGCAGACAGACAGCCCGTGCTCCTTTGACAGGGACGAAGACTCCTGTCATTTTATGGAGGTAACCAAAGAATTCCAGTAGTTATGGCAGTTTTTGGCAGGGCTTTCATTTCAACTTCAAGTTTCACAAGGCTTTTCAATACATATGCAGTCTGGCGATCCCCAAAGAAGTCTTTGATAAAGGAAATTTAAATGTACAGGAAACTCCTTAAGAATAAATTAATATGAAAATATGCCAAGAATTGCATTCATTCCAAACTTCCGGGGAAACAAAACACATATACACACACACATAGACACACGTAGCTTATTTAGCTTGGTGAACTTCCATAAAACCAACAAGCTGATTTTGCCGCCCCTCACCATCACAGGCCATTCTTACACGTGAGTCAGGTTTGGAGCTTGGAGGACTAAGTCTGAAAGTAAAGAGGTTTTGGCTAGAGTCAGAGTTCTGACTCACAGTATGGTTTCTGAAATGCAAATTATATGTTTTATTTGACAGTTTATATTGCTAACAGTCACGTGAGACATTTTCAAAAGCATGGTTTTGGCAGATTTAAAGTTACGTTACTAATAAGTGTAAAATTATCTTAAAACCATTGCATCCTGCCATAGGTCCAGTATCTGTTGAAGCAAGTGTACTATATTCACTACTTGGAAGAAATTATTCAAATACAGTTCCAAGATAAATTTTTAAAAATTAACTAATAAAAGTTGGGCTCTTGGCCAATCTAGACTGCCAAAGGTAAGCTGTTCTAGAAGAGAAGGAAGTCTGGCTTTTCAGCATGCTACAGCTTCATGATTAAAAAATATTTTCAAAAATGTTGAGAGACATTTAAAGTTCCTAATTGACTGTAAAGCAATTATACTCCAATAAAGATGTTTAAAAAAAAAAAGAGAGAGGGATATCAAAGAAGGAATTTCAACATCAGAGGGTATGCTTAAATTGCTTCTGAAACATGGTAACCTTGAAGGCCCCTTCCAACTCCATGATTCTTTGATTTATGATTAGTAATCACAACAAATTTTATGAGTAAACGAGAAGAATTTTTTGAAAAATGCATTCACACACACACACACACACACGTTTCTAATTGATATTGAAGCTGAAAAAGCAACTTTAATAGTTAATGAGAGGGACTTCCCTGGCGGTCCAGTGGTTAAGACTTCACTTTCCAACGCAGGGTGTGCGGGTTCGATCCCTGGTTGGGGAGCTAAGGTTGGGGAGCTAAGATACCATGCCTCGTGGCCAAAAAACCAAAACATAAAACAGAAGCAATATTGTAACAAATTCAATAAAGACTTTAAAAAAAATGGTCCACATCAAAAAAAAAAATCTTAAAAAAAATAGTTAATGAGAAAAATGGCACAGATAACGCTTGGAAAAAAACTTTTCCCTCATACAACAGGCCACCAGATTTCCTAGGGACAACAAAGAGTCTTCAGGATTCACTTTCTGTGGCAAAAAAACTTTATGGCCATAAAACCTGCCAACCTTCCACAAAAGCTCAGACACTCAACTTATACCTTAAGGACTGGAAAAAAAAAAAAAAGAATACGCATAGAATTCTCATCCCTAGATTTCAGGACAAGGAAAGACCTTAAGAGATCATCCGGTTCAAAATTTCCCAAAGTTGGTTTTGTGAAACATTATTTTCCCAAAATGTTCTGAATAGTGGCGAGGTGATTCAGATAAGTTTGGGAGCACTCTTGAGAGTCGTAATGCACATTAGGCATTAGCAAAGCTGAGAAGCCTACAGAAAAGAAATGGTTAAGTTTTTTTAAAAAAACTTAATTTTTATCAAACCTATTTGAGCACAGAACCCTTTTTGCAGTAAGTATTTATTAAAATCCTGTAAAATTAATGTTTTGTAGAAAACCCCTTGTCTTATATACGGAGGAAGTGAAGTCCAGACAGGCTAGGGGATTGTCCCAAGGTCATACACTTAGTAGATAAGAAAAAACAGATCTCTCCTTTCTAGACCCCACCTCAGTGCTCTTCCTCGTGCTGTGTTCTCTCTCCTACAAAACCTGCACTCCCTGAAGGATCAAAGACTATATAAACCAGACCTTGGATGTCATTTAGTCCAAAGCCCTCCTATTTAAAGGTGGGAAACAGTCTCCACAGAGAGACTGAAAAGTTGACAGAGAAGTGAAAAAGAAAGTGACACAGAAAAATCAATGCCTGTAGTAGAACCTAGCTCCTAATTCCAACGCTACTATCCTTTCCACAACAGCATACTAGCTCCTGCAAAGCCAACACTTTTTGCCTCTGAGGAAAAGGACTGATGAATGAGAGGGGATTGAGCTATGCAGGACCCAGTAAAATATTTATTAAACCACACTTGTGTCAGTAGGTATCTTAAATCAGTTAAACATGATTGTCTTTACTTACAAATGTCATCCACTGTGACAGGGAATCAATGTTTCAAGCTGTTGAACAGGTCATCATCCCTGTCCTGTTGGATGACACCTGTAAATAAAATAAATCTAGTTTTGAGTGAGTAGATTTTAAGCCAACTAGATTTCAGATGCATGCAGTTTAAAGCAAAGAGTAGTTTTGAAGAGATGATTCTTAATCAAGGCTTTTGCTGAAGAGAAACACTTTCTGGGCTAGCTACTTCACTCTATGGCACTGGCCTTCAGCACAAAAAAATCCAGGTAATTTAGCAGGTAATGTTGCCAGAATACATAGGGCATCATGGATCCCAGAGTTAAAAGCGTCCTCTAGGCACTAGCTACCTCAGTCTCTTGCCTCTGTGAATATTTATTTTCATTTTGTAGGAGGGACAACTAAGGCCCTGTGAGGTTAAATAACTAGCCCAGTGTTACATAGCTAAGTGTCTGTAGCTTGAGTCCCTTAATGTACAAAAATGTATACAGAACACATTAGCAAAGGTTATCATTAGGTTGATCAAATTTGAAAGACTCACGGGTACGTATTTAAAAAAATATTTCACAGATGTTAACTTAGAATATTCAAGGCACATCTTCATAACATATAATATCAGTATTAGGTATTTAAATACAAGCATTACTGAAAAATGCCATGAATGAAAAATAACCAAAAGTGAGAAAACGGGAACTAGAGTGAAAAGAACAATATTAAATACAGCATGCATTTAGGACTCTAAATTGTGGTTACTTCCAAAAAAGATGTGTAGCTCCTAACAACTTTAAGTGTATGAAAAACTATTTGCTACAGACTATGGTTTAAAATGTTGGTTTCTGGGGCTTCCCCGGTGGCGCAGTGGTTGAGAGTCTGCCTGCTGATGCAGGGGACACGGGTTCATGCCCTCGTCCAGGAAGATCCCACATTCCGTGGAGCGGCTGGGCCCGTGAGCCATGGCTGCTGGGCCTGCGTGTCCGGAGCCTGTGCTCCACAACGGGAGAGGCCACAGAGGTGAGAGGCCCGCGTACCGAAAAAAAAAAAACAAAATGTTGGTTTCTCTGCAGCCACAAAATCCCACTCTAAGTAAGATCTGCCAGAAACTAAAATTTGAAATGGACAATGAACATTTGAAATTTCCATTCTGTACCTAAATATTCCAAGATAATGGGAAGTATTTTAGGATGCTACCATGAGGTAATATGACTGGCACAGTAACATTACCACCAAACTCATATTGAGTGCTTACTTTGTGCCAAGCCCTCTTTATTTTGTACATACTATCTCATTCAGTCAATCCTCAGAATTTGATTGTTATTACAATTTTACAAATAAGAACATTAAAGCACAGAGTCTCTGTAACTTGATGAAGTCACTCAACTGGTAAAATGATAGAATTTGAGCACAAATCTATTTGGTGACAGAATCAAGCTCAAATGACTATATAATACTACATTTCTTTAATATGGCAACTTAAGATACTCGAGAATATAAGAATTAGCTAACACAATTACAATTAAAATACATAAAATTATCCCAACTAAATCCCACACAATATAAAACATGAGAAAATTCTCACTTTTCCTTGGGGGATGAAAGGGAGGCTCGGGACAATTTTCAAAGTAAAATTATCTTAATGCCAAGGAATTAAAACTTCTGATGTTAACCTTAAACACATTACAATTAAAATATGACAAATGAAAAACTTAAATTGTCTTTCATAATTAAAGAAAAGTATATCTTCCAGATTCAGTTACTTCCTAAGTCCATAAAGAGATAAATTCTCCTGTTACTCAAGACTGATTCTCAAAACAGTATAAGTTATTGATAGACTGAATTTAATCACGTGTATTTGAGAATACATATTATCTATCAGTTTGCTAAAGAGCAAAACTTTCATAAAGTACATTATCTTTAAGGAAAACAAAGTAAGTTTGATAAATAATGTGACCCCCTTAATTCTTTATGTAATATAGCTAGTGTAAGTTATGCTTCTGACCAAAACCCCCGAACTTCTTTACTAGGAGTCATTTTTCCAACAAATTTTTAAAACTGTGAAACTGATAAAATAGGAAATAATCAGGAGTACAAAAATATACCTGACATATTTTAACTGAACAAGAATTAGATATATCAAAGCTCAGCATCACAGAAACTAGACATTAAGGAAAATGCATATCCTTTCCAAAGCACTGTGGAGAAGTCAATTTCTTCTGGCAATAATGGTTTTCTTATAAGAACCCCAAACAGAAGAAGACAAAGTGTGGTTTCATGGTAGCTTACCCTTTTCTCTGATACCCCATCCTGGCCTGTAGAATCTTTCTCATCAAGTGTCTCTTTCGGGATTGGCATATGTTTTTGGTATGCTGGCTCTCTGTTTAAGGTTGTGTATCCTATGTGCTCATAAATTGGGTTTATCGTCATCTTGGCAATGTATTCTGCTGCCTTGGTTTCAATATAGAGAGTAATCAATCCATCAGTCACCAGATCGTGGATGGACTCAAAGCGCTTCTCCCCAACAAAGTGCTTTCCATCGTAGTAGAGCCTGAAGTTTCTGGTTTGACTTCCAAATCTGCCTCAATGAAATGGGAAAGATGTTTTTAAGAAAAGTAAGCAAGTGAATTCTTTCTGAAAAAAATATTTAAAACTATTGCTTTGTGTGTGTCTTCTTTGTTTAAATAAACTGTGGCTAATCTCTATGAGTCGTCTGGAATATGGAAAATTACACTTTTGAACACAAAGAACGAATCTGCAACAACTAGGGATAACTAGCCAAAAGTATGCCTACCCTAGAAGGAAAACCTTGCTCTTATTCATCTTTTTTAAGCCACTTCATTATGCCTGTAGGAAAAACAGGGGAAAATAAACCTCATATACTATTAGAACACATTCAATAATCAACTGGTCAACTACATAATATATGAAATTTCTATATTAGCATGTTCTCTCCAAGTTGATCAATAAAAGTATTCAATGTACTTCAGACCCCAACATTCATGTCTTTCAATGGGAAAGCTCCCTTTAGGGCTCACCTGAGTGTGATGCCAGCAATCATTTAAAGTAGAGCTGATTCCAGAACCTGAGTCATACAGTAGAGCAGGATGGCACAGAAACACACTTTTGCTATTTCTAGCCATGGGTCAAGGACTTGCTCTTCCCTCTTACATAGTCATTCTTCTGTCTGCTTGTTGAGTTTGGGCAAGGTATGCTTGCAATATATTTAGGGCATATAAGTTATCGACTATTAAACTCTAGAAATTCTGTTCTCACTTTCGAGTCATCTTTCAGTGACATTTTTAAAAACCTGAAGAATGATTTACTTTTATGATAATTTCAGTATTTTGCTTCCTGTGGCAAACCTTGGAAATGGATCCAAGTTGGCATGACTAGCATCAGCGTCCTTCCAAGATGACAAAGACAAGAACATGCACTGACTTTAATAAAAGCTGATGCCAAAAGGCACCAAGGGCCAAGTCACAGTCTCTGGAAGCTAGCTCCGAGTGAGCCTAATTTAAAACTAAACAAATCAGACAGGATATATTTAATTTCACTGTTAAAAATACACAGAACAGAGATGAACTAAAATACTAAATTAATAGCTATTTAAGTAAAGTGTTTAAATAGAACTGCAAACTTATGCAACAATACTATTCTGGTATAGGTTACATTTCAGGAGGACAGGAGTTAGAACCTTTGTAAGATTTCACTTTAAATGTGCCCTAAAAAAGGGAAACAAAAAAAATTTTTAACAGTGGCCTGAGGTATCTCTGTTTCTGTCGTTCAAATTAGACTTTAATAGTTATTTAATCTAGAACCCAATATTCTATCCATGCTGGTCCTTCTTCTAAAATAAAATTGATCTACCTTTTGGTTCTTTAAAAGCAATTAAATTTTGATTTATACTCAAGTGAATGATCCATATAATTCCACTTTCCCATTCTCATTTTCCTCTAATGTTAAAGACATATTTCTCCTAAGTAAATTTTCATTATAATGCAGGTCTAAAAAGTTGGAAGGTAGGGCCTCCCTGGTGGTGCAGTGGTTGAGAGTCTGCCTGCCGATGCAGGGGACGCGGGTTCGTGCCCCGGTCCGGGAAGATCCCACATGCCACGGAGCGGCTGGGCCCGTGAGACATGGCCACTGAGCCTGCGCGTCCGGAGCCTGTGCTCCGCAACGGGAGAGGCCACAACAGAGAGAGGCCCGCGTACCACAAAAAAAAAAAAAAAAGTTGGAAGGTAAAATTTCTACACCAAAGTTAAACATAAACTTTTTCTCAGTTTAATATACTGCTATTTCCTTTTCACTAATTTTCATCATTTGTTATTGAGAAATAAACATAGCCACTTCATAAATTTTATAAGGTTCATATAGCAATAAACACAACATTGTTTAACATTAAGTTCTTTTATATTTCAGTTGTATTCAGAGGCATTTCAGTAAGGGATTTAGACCATTTTACTCCTGCAGGGGCTTAAGATTTTACAATAAGCAGTTTCACAATGGGTATGGCACTTAAAATAAAGACTATCTAAGTAACGGTGGCAGGCATTTGTCACTCAGCTGTCTTCTGAAATCTGAGAAGTATGGGAGCAGAGGGTGGAAGGGAAGATGGCTGAACTGGCCTACATGGGTTGGGATGGTTAATCAAAAGAGTGGAAATCTAAGGTTAGATTTCTTGGCACTTGACAATGGAGCTGTTTCTAAGCCATCCAAGAAGAGAGTCTCCTGGCTACCTCTAGGTTATTGGGCAAAAAATTCTAAATAAGTTTGTCCGTTTCTCTTTCTCAACTCAGTGACTTTAAGAGCCCCTGTGCACAATCCCCAGTTCCTCTTCAGCCTGTACTTGAGCTCTAGACTTCCAGTCCAATCAAGCTTCCAGCCTTAAGGAAGCTGATCAGATAACTAAAATAACTTATAATATGGGTTGATTAAAACAATGTCAAAGGACAAGAAAATGAATTTCCATTTTGGAACTATGACAATTATGATTGAATTTTTAAGAGAAATTGCATTATTTTTACTAAAGGAACTATTAGCTTTGTATGCCTACTCTGAACATCCCTCTCTCTTTTTTTTTTTTTTTTTTTTTTTTTTTTTCTTGCGTTATGCGGGCCTCTCACTGTTGTGGCCTCTCCCATTTGCGGAGCACAGGCTCCGGACGCGCAGGCCCAGCGGCCATGGCTCACGGGCCCAGCCGCTCCGCGGCATGTGGGATCCTCCCGAAACGGGGCACGAACCCGCGTCTCCTGCATCGGCAGGCGGACTCCCAAGCACTGCGCCACCAGGGAAGCCCGAACATCCCTCTCTTTTATTTTGCAAGCTACATAAAAAACAGCATCGCCCTACAGACTGACAGAGAGATCTCTCCCCTTCCTTGATCTGAAAAGGCATGAGAATCTTTGAGCAAGGTGGGGAATGAGTGTGTCTATTCTACAAAAAAGAGCCATAAAAAGGAGATGCCAAATCTAAGGGCAAATAAAGAATCCTTCCTTATAAAACTTATCACTCACAGACTGTCATTTATACAACAAACATTTAACAAGACACCTAGGAACTCTTAAATGTTAGGTAGTTCATAATAAAGTTCCTGTTTCCTCGATAACCTCAATGGGAAATAAACAAACATAAAAACAAGTCAATACAGAGACAAGATGAAATTGATGAATTTTAAAAAGTTCATCTTTAGATTGATTTCTAAAAAATGATTATAATAATGTGTATAACCTTGTTCATATACAGAAAAGTTACATTTCTCTACAGTGATACATGAAACCAAGTAAATCCAGTATCTCCCTCACATTAAGAATACCAAGAAACTCACTGTTTAACTTAGATCTGACATATTACACTTAAGCCTACATAAGATCTCAGAGCTACTGTTTATGTCCCAGTACAAAAGACCTTTGCAGTCTTGAAATACGGTTTGGACAGGGGCAGGCAAGTCCTGGGTCCTATGTGTTTAACAGAAAACCTCAGGCTTCAGCATCAGACAAATTAAGTTTAAATCCTGGATCTGCCACTTAGCTGCGTGATTTTGGGAAAATCATTCTTCAGATTCTGCATCTAGAAAAGAGGAATAACATTACCCTATACAATAATAACACTACATGGCTGTGAAGATTACATAAGAATATTTAAGTTAAAGCTAAGTACAGCTGACCCTTGAACAACACAGGTTTGAACTGCACTGGTCCAACTTAGAGACACGGGTTTTTTCAACAGTAAATCCTACAGCACTACACTATCTGTGGCTGCTTGGATCTGCAGATCTGGAACCATGGATACAGAGGGCCAACTATAAGTGATATGTGGATTTTCCAGTGTGCAGAGGGTAGGTGCCCCTAACCACCACACTGTTCAAGGGTCAATTGTATATAGTACGTTCAACAGTAGTCCCCTTTCTCCTCTGTTAGCTTAGACCTCTGCAGAGAATGGCAGAATGATTACCAAACAATAAAGTAAAACAAAAGATGTTCGATAAATATGCACTGAAGACAGCTGAATAAATAATTGGTAATGCTGGTTGTACAGGAACATCTCTGCATGGGCTGACTTTACAGTCAATGAAAGACAAGGAGTTCTTTGTGACTTTTTTTTACTCAGGATACCCCTGAGTATGTTTCTACTACGTGGTTAACTGAGTGGAAATACAACAGAGTGCAAAGAGGGGAGGAGAGAAGCTGGGAGAGTCCTTCCACAGGGGCTTGGGAGTCAGGTTTCTGATTTCAAGGAAGAAAGGTCAGTAAATGTACTTGTATTGAAAGCAGGACATGTTAAATGGATCTAGTGACGACGACTGAACTCTTGAAGGCAGAGTACTGATTTGTAAAAACTGTTAATGCTAAACCATTTTCCCTGCATTTTTATAGGAAAATATTCTTTTCACTTTTTCTTATATTTATTCCCTGCTTCTGCCCCTTCTTTCACATATCTGTTCATTTTTTTGATGAATATGTTTGAAGCTGTACAGGTATAGGTCCAACCCTCACCTAGATAGAGTTCAACAAGATGAAAATTCATTTTCTCCAAAGTGGTACTGTAGCTAACAAATAGAAAGACTGGGATAATCTGCTCTGAACTGCTACTGTTGTATATAATTACCACTTTCTACAAAGAATGTCTTTTTCTCCAGTGATTCCAGGTTTTGGTTTTCATGTTTTAAAAAATGGTTTAATGCTGTGCCCAGCTGCATTCAAATGAATTTCAAAATACATAATTCTAACAGCTAGCTTTAAAAAGTGAACAAAACCCTTAATACCATCCTTTCTATTTTTTTAGCAAGTAAATCGCACTCATAACAAACTCAATCTAGAGGTACAAAGTGATGAAAATATACACAGAGAATAACCTTTGGGATCTTACTTTACTTTTTCTAAAACCAAGAATTAGTTCTGATTTGAGGCCAAAGTATTTGGAAGTATCTCCAAAGGAAAGCTCCAAGCTAACAGAGGTTTTCTGTTAACAAACTGAAAACAAAACATATACAACACACTTGTCTAAGTTAACAACAAAATGTTAGAACTATTTCCAGAAACCAACACAGGAAAACAATTTTATTTATCACAAATATGT